TAAGAAAGACACAAATGTAGAAGACAAAAGACCAGAACACTTGACTTTTAAAAAATCTGTAAATTTTCCAATAAAATACAAGGCACCCAAATCAAAATTAAAAGCCAAGTGACACATCAGAAGAAAACATGTGCAAGATATGCTACAAAGACTTATGAGTTCCTACAAATGAGTAAGAAAAAGACAGTTAATTAAAAAATAAGTAAGAGTACAGACAGGCAAATCACTGGAGACATAAACAGCTAATAAACATATGCAGCAGTGCTCAATCTCACTACCAGGAGATGTCAGGGGAATGCAAGTTAAAATGAGCTATTCTTTTACCCACTGCCCCCCTTCCCCCAGAACACCTAACACTGGTAAAAGCATGGGAAACACTCTCAAACACTATTCTTAGGAGTAACAACATAGTAATGTCATTTTGGAAATGAATTTGGCCATGTATATCAAAAGCTAAAATATACATATTCTCTGACTTCTTGTTTCCTCCTCCATGTATTTATCATGGAAAAATGACACATGCACTATTAGTCATGTACAAAAATGTCTACTTCATATGGTTTATAGTACAATATTAGAAACAGCCTCAAAAGAAAAGAGAAAATAATAATATGAAATACTATGAAGCTGTTTAAAAAGAATTACACAGATCTTTATGTGGTAATCTGGAAAGATCTCGAAAATATACTATTGGGGAACCTGGGTGGCGCAGTCAGCTGCATCTGACTCTTGGTTTCAGCTCAGGTTGTGATCTCAGGGTTGTGAGATTGAGCCTTATCAGCACAGAGTCGGCTTGAGATTCTCTCTCCCTCCCACTCTCGCCCCTCCCACTTGTGCTCCCACTTGTGCGCCCACGTGTGCGGACTCTCTCTCTAAAATAAATAAATCTTTAAAAAGTATAGACTGTTAAATTAAAAGAGCAAACTACAAATAATATAGAGTATGTTCCCATTTGTATAACAATGAAGAAAATCTTTATGTATGTAAACATAGATATAACTGCATTAAAAAAGAATATATAACCCAAAATGAATAAAAAGTGGTTATCTCTGGAAAGAATGGGAATTAGTGGGGGCTTGGGGATAAAGGTGTGAAAAGAGTATTTTCACCTTCTATTCTATATAAACCTGTATGTCTCTGTTTCACTTGTATACTTAAAAAATAGGATTAAAACTCTTAAGGAAGAAAAGCCAGCAAATGAGTAATTTAAAAATCATGGTTCTGCCTTAATTTGGTCTTTATTTTCACTACAAGTTAAAGGTCAGATGATACTATAAGTGCCTCAACAAGTTTCAACCCAGCTAACATTATGGAACACAAAAAATCTGGTAAGAAAACACTACTAAACTGCTCAAGTCCGTCTGTTTTTTGACAGGGATTAATTTAATGATCCCATACATTGATTCCTGGTAAATGATAGCCATTCAATTCAATACTGCACTGCAAAGTATCAATCTTTTTAGAACACAGCTATAATAAAAGCAGCATGTTTTACAGAATCAGCTCCAGGATAAATAAATGCAAAAAAAAAAAAAATACCTTTAAATTAAAATCAAAAGAGACATTTAAAGTTTGGGCATTCTTCATTATGGGAAAGAATCTTCCACTTTGAGACTATTATATATCAGAAAAGCTCCATCTGTTGTGTAATTATCTCTGATAAACGGCCTGATGCTTTGAGCTTCATTAGAGAAAAGGGAAGAGAAAGACACATACAGAGAGAACTGTAAATAAATCTCCCCACCATATTTCACTTAAAACCAGCCCAGCAGAAAGTCATAAAGTATTTTTTAATAGGTAGTATTTTCTAAATGTTCTACTAGAATAAGCCAGCCTGTTTTGCCCAATATCTACCTGGGTCTTCTGAAGTAGGCGTAGTCCAAAAAAGGGAAAACTAGTTTCATTGAAAGATTATTAGAAATTTAATTGGTAAAAACAAACAGTCTTGCTACTTGGCGGCTGTGATATTAATTTTCCAGGGGACAGATAAGGGCTTGTCAGACAGGACTGAAGACTAGAAGCTAGTGAAGCCTGCCCAACGTATGTTCAAAGACCCAAGGGCAGTCTAGCAAGGACATCTATTAAAATGCAGTACTATTTTATTTCTATTTTATTTTACTTTCTAAATGCCTGAGGGAGCCGGGGTATCACCAAGAACCAGTTTCCAAGGAAACAATGGAAATCTCCTTATTCAACCAAATTAATTTAACCACAGATAAAGAATGTTCTCAAATTTCTATTTTGGGAATCACTGTCATAATTAAAAGAAAATCCAGCCAGCAATTGGAAATGAAGCTTTCATCGTTAACAATCTTCATTAACATTCCAGTTAGTATGGTTCTCACTTTTTCTGTATGTTTCCTTTTGGCTATAACAAAAGCATCTCTTGGGTAGATGCAATAGAGAAGAATATGAAAAATCTTGAGTATTATGGATGAAAAAGACCCAGAGCTAAGTGCTAGTCCTGTCACGTGACTCAAAGCAAATTACCACGCAAACCTTTTTCTCATCTGTAGAATAGGAAGGAGAATATCTGCCATGCCTGCCTTGCACACTGTCAGATGATCCCAGGAAAATGTTTGTTAAAGTGCTTTGTTAAACAGTGGTTAGCAAACTTTTTCTGTAAAGAACCACTGGGTCTCTGCAGCAACTACCCAATTCTGCCGCCATAGTGCACAAGCAGCCATAGACACAATGCATAAATGAACGAGCATGGTTGTGCTCCAATAAAACGTTATGAACACTGAAATTTAAATTTCATATAATTTTTAAATGTCACAAAATATTGTTTGACTTTTTTCAATCTTCTAAAATCATTTTTTAGCTCGTAGACCATATAAAAACAAGTGATGGTCTGGATGTGGCCCATGGGCTGTATTTTGCCAATTCCTCTTGTAAACTATATTTTTATACATGTGTTGGCTGCTGTTTATTTCTTACTATGTGCCTCCACAGAGTTTAGGAAAGTATTCTGTATGAGGTGGACCCTCTCTAACTGGTAGATTAGAATGTCAGAATATTTGAAAACAAGCCCATTTCTTGCCATTACTCTTCCCCAGTAGGAGGTATGGATATCAACTCTGTCTGGCATTAGTTCTCTTCCTCTCCTGCCTAGAAAGAAACAGACCAGCCAATTCTCCTGAAACACCTCAATTTCTATCCAATATGTAGTGGGACTAGGAAAACGAACACAAAACAAAACCTAGGTAGGCATGCACATCAGAAGTCTCCAAACATGTCATAAGTAGAGACGCCCAGGGTAACAAGAAAGCTGATTTACAGGAGAGAGAAAGGGCATTTTTTCATCTTTTAAGTCCGATCTGATAAGACTCTGACTTAAGGTGACCAGTTAGCATGCTGCTCATTTAAAAATAAAACAACTGGTTCCAGAGTTCTATCTACAATCTGACATTATCCTTTCTCTCTTTAAAAGTTGGGTCAAGAAATGTAAATACAAATCATGGTTTATCTCCTCTATGAAAACCCTGAAAATTGGGAGAACAATGAATAGTAGCAAAAGCAGGAAAAATGTTAGGCTTTTTTGTTGTTGTTGTTATTTTGTTCTCCTTCCTCCACAGTTTACATTTGCATGCAATGGTCCTTTACACTATAAATCACTACAGAGACAGGAAGCTATGGTGCAATGCCAGAAAGCTAGGCTGCTCTGCGATCTTGGGCAAGATACTGAATCATCTGTGCCTCCATCTCCACATCCGTGAAAACAGATATGGTAACAGTCCCCACCATACAAGGGTAATTATGACGATAAAGTAGGTTAATACAGATAAAGTATTTCGAACAGTACCTGGTACTTGATGAGTACTCTAGTGCTAGCTGTTACCATTATTACAGCATTTAAATGCTATGACAAGTCCTTTGGTCACTATTTGAGTTTTGTTTACACTGCCCTTTTTTTTTTTTTAAAGTTTCCAATGACTGAACTTCCATAGACTCTTCTGTAGACATACACAATGGGAGAGGAAGAGGTATGTGTGTGAATTCAGACAAAAAAAATATTATTTGGAGCTTTTGGATATCTGTTTTATTTGACCTTCAGTCAGGTGTTTTAAGAAATTCTTTTGGATAAAAATCTGTCCTGTTTCTTTGCTTAACCACTCTTGTCAGTAGTTTGTTTGTTTGTTTTAAGATTTTATTTATTTATTTGACAGAGAGAGAGACAGCGAGAGAGAGAACACAAGCAGGAGGAGTAGGAGAGGGAGAAGCAGGCTTCCCGCCGAGCAGGGAGCCGGATGTGGGGCTTGATGTGGGGCTCGATCCCAGGACCCTGGGATCATGACCCTAGTTGAAGGCAGCCGCTTAACGACTGAGTCACCCAAGCACCCCACTCTTGTTAACTCTACCTGCAGTCTTTTCAATACAGCATTAACATACCCAGACTGTCACCATCTTTCTTTTCGTACATTCATTTGACAGTGAGAAGCAAAAAAAGCAGATATAAACAATACTCATTCTCTTGATTATTACAGAAAAAGTAAGACCTTCTCACAAGTCCTAAACAATACACAGCATTCCAGTTCTACACAATAACAACAGATCCATAATTACTGTATAGTTAACAAATTATGTGGTACTTGGATTTGCAATCCCAAACCCATTACCCAGCAACTTCCACACCCTACCTCTTCATACCTCTATATAAGGGAAGCTATGAAGGACCAACAGATGAAATTCTGGTCCCGAGGATGCTAAAAGATCAACATAAGTAATCCCCTGCCTCCTCTTCTTCCACCCTGCTTCTACGAGGTACATCACAGCTGAAGAAATTTGCCAGGTGCCTAGGGATAGGGCCTTCTACTCTCACCTGGGTCTTCATCGCTACTTGGCAATCACTGTAATTATCTCATGTTGACTCATAACGCATCCGCCCTAACACTTTAACAAAATTCCCTACTTTCCTCATCCCTATATACCTCACATACAAATCAGGCACACATAGTTTTCAACCTCGGTGAGAAAGCTTTTGCAAATGACATGCTTACTGATCACTGCTCCTGCTGCCTCCTTCCTTATACCCCGAAATTCTTCTGTACCTGTGTCGGAGAACAAGCCAGAATTTCAGGGAGAGGCATATATATTTGAAAAGGTGACCTCCTTGGGGGTCTAATCTTGCTCATTTCTGTACCCAGCACTTAACCTAGTGCCTAACAGAGTAGGCTCCCAGCAAAGACCGCTAAATGAATATACAACCAATCTGCAATAGATTATTAAATAGCTTATATTTAGGTAATCGACCTCATGATCATCAAATCCAAATGTCTCTTGTCAGTTTACAGTCTGCAGCATTTTAATGATGACACAATTGGTTGCAAACATAGGCTTTAGAGCCAAATTAGTGGGTTGAACATGAACTATACTAAGAAGCAGCAGCTCTGGAACTTTGGACTGAAGTCACTGAACCTCTCTATGCTTTATCTTCCTCATCTGTAAAAATGAGGATAATAAAAGCACCTACCTCATAAGACCCTGTGAAAATTAAATGTTAGTACATGTAAAGAGCTTAGGAAAGTACTTAGAAAATAGCAAACACTTCATAAATGTGAGCTTACATTTTCGTTATTACTATGAAAGAACACAACAAGCTGAAATTTGTTCCTTGGCCTCTGTGAACTTGCCCACTATCATTCTACTCTTCTCTGACTTCTTCAAGTTGCGTCCTCTGTTTTGATTTCACTCTCAAGGTTCTATTCTCACTGCTTTTTCTTGCTCTCATCCTTGCCAATCTCATTTAACCAGTAAGGTTTCAACTATCATCTCCCAAGTGCATGAAGCTAACTCTGACTTCCCTCTCCTGAGCTCCAACTCAACCAGCCCACTTGAACATGAAAGTCATCATCATATCTCAGATTAGCAAATCTCCTCAATTCCTCAGATCTGTGAAAACCTGAAGATTACAATAATGAGCCTTATAAGGATTAGGAAATAAGACTGGTTTCAGCGAGTTGAACTCAAGATAAACACACAATGGTTTAAAGCAGTGATGTCATCAGAAAGAGAATGGATCTGAAGCTAGTAGAACAGAAGACTGAAAGTATTTAATTATCAAAAGAAAAAACATGGCAGTGTACAATGGCCTAGACGGGCAAGTTATGGAAACACAGAAAGTATTGTGTCCTAGGGGCTACAAAGCTAAGAGCAGGTCTAAGTCCAGGCAGAGGAGGGAGAAAAGGTGTATGGAGATGGAATCTTGCACTGAATGCAAGACCTTCCTTATATGTACTTAGAGCACACCTCACAATCAGCCTGACTCAATTAAAAATTTACTTCATTTTAATTCCACTTGGTGAGTCCACACTTTGCCATTTGCTATATAAACCCTCGTTCAGGTTGGCTTCCCAGAAAGGTCTGCCTCCAGAGAAAATGTTTTAGTCCTATGTATAAATTTTTATTTCCCTATTTATTCCCTATTTATTAGGATTTTTCATGATGAATTAATAAAGTTAACTTTTGGCTATGATTTGAGTTTCCACATACCTTAATTACAGAGAGAGAAAGTGCTGATCTTGGCAACATGAAAATTTCTATTTTCTGTGGCAATTATGTTTTACATTGTGAAATAACTGATTAAAAGCATGGTTTCTGAAGCCAAATGCCTGAATTTGAATACTGGTTCTGGTATCTAGTTGTTTGTGACCACAGGTAAATTACCTGATCTCTTTGTGCCTGTTTCCTCAGCTCTAAAATGGGGATAATGATAGTATCTACTGCACTGGGTTATCATGAGGCTTCTATGAGAAAATGTTCAGAACATATAGAACAATGTCTTACAAACAAAGTGCTCAATAAATGATAGCTACTGTTATCTCAGTCTCACACACAACTTGGCTACTCAGGCTGGTTTGTTGTGGCCTGATCCTGGTATATAAGAATCCAATCAGATGAGATCCTGACCAGCTCCAAACTTTCCCTTAGACAAGGAGTTCTTCACCTAAAGGCCATAGTGAACTTAAAACATTTTATTCAAAATTGGGTATAAATGGATGGTGTGTTTTTTTCTGAGACAAGGGGCCCTATCTTTTATCTGTTTCTCAATAAGTACATGACCCCAAATAGATTTTTAAAAACAAAACAAAACCTATTACCCCAACATTATCACTACCATTTTAATCTTTTCTTTTTCCCTCCTCCTCAATGATTTCTACACCTTCCCCTGGGCCTCTATTCAATAGGTTACATTATTTTAAAAATTCTTCCTCTGCAATGTTATTCTACTATAATCCTTCCCATTTTCATTACTGCCAGGTTACTTCTCCAAAAGAACTGTAATATTACTTTCTTTGCTCAAAAACATGACTATTGTCTAACATCTGAATATCTAAGCTGAACATTTAAACCTCTCTGACTTGATCATCATCTACCTTTCTAGCCTTGTCCTCTATAAATGCCCCTAAAGGGGTCATTTGCCAGTGCAGGACTCCATGTACCTTTCCTCCAAAGCTCACTCTACTCCGTTTAGAATGTCTTTTCACCACCTTGTGTCTGTCTTCAGCACAATTTTCTCCAGTAAACCAACACTCTTCTTCAACAATCATTGTCTTTAATATTTAAGAAGAATCATTAAAATGGACTCAGGATTTCTCAACCTTGGCATTGCTGACATGTTAGGCTGGATAATTCCTTGTTGTGGAGGGCTATCCTATGCAGTGTAGGATGTTTAATAGCATGGGGGGACAAAATCACTCCTGGTTGAGAACCACTGACATATTATAACAAATATATTTAATTTACCCTGATAAAGAGTAAATTCTTTGAGGACACGGACTTTGGCCTTCTTTACTTTTATATTCTCAATGTCACCTAGTACAGTGGTTTATGATAAATAATTTGTTCTCTGCTAATCTTTCCAAAGTTAGTAGGCAGAACATTCTAACCTAACATATTCCAAGGATTTCTAGATGTTCATTAAATCTGAAACATCAAATTTCAACCTGTTAATTTAAAGCTTTTAAGAGGCAAAAACTGCTATGTCAAAATGTGCCTAAAATTTTCAACAGACACTGTTAGTTATAGCTGTGTCCCAAAGGAGTTGGCTACAGCAGTAAAAAAGTTAAGTGGACAATGGACTTCCATATCACATATATAACAATAACATTCTATCGCTGAGGACTTAACAGAAGAATAAGAGAAACCATTTCCTCCTCCCTTCAAATACCCTATGTTCTATGAAGTATATAGTGTTATTATCTCAGTTAATTGCCTAGAAACATACAAGGCCCAGTGAGTGACAGAAGTAAGGTTTCCAAGGTTCCTAAATTAGGAAGTTCTCTAGACCAGTGGTTCTCATCAATTAGCGCAGATTAGGATCCTCTGCAGAGTTAAAAAGTACAAGTCCCTGGGGCTCCCTCCAGATCAATAAAATTAGACTCAGAGAATGGTGCTAAAGATTATAATTGTTTTTGGTTTTGTTTTTTTTTAAATCTCCAGTGGATTCTATTTTGCAGGCAGGACTGAGAACCACTGCCCTAGACTGGTTCAAGACCTCATACCTTGACAGTTAACCAAAAAAGCTATCTTTGAAAGGACCTTAAGCTCTATGGAATAGCTAAAATTTATTCCCTAACTTGCTGATGAGGGCCTACACGTCAACACTTAATCTTGATTTAGAAGAACTGCGATCTTTTCTTCTGAGACAAGGCATTACTAAGAAGTTCATGATACAATTCTTGGGCTGCTTTCTGTACCACTTCAAAGATCTGGGCACTTACACTCCTCTTTACTTGGTGAAGTTACATTCAATTCTGTCGGAAGCGGCTGCTGGCTGGGACTAAGAGTTGGCGTGGTTATCGAGGTATTGTTGTTGTCACTGGTGGTCTCTTCGGAAAACAAATCTGATTGGCTGTTACTTGTACTTGGAGCGGAATCATCGTCTGGTTGTTTCTTTTGAAAATCTGAAGAGAAAGAGTGATATAACCAGTTTAAATAAGGAGTTTGTAATTTCCTTGGGAATTAGAAAACAACAAAAGTACAGAAATAAAAATTAAATGTAATGGGGCAATAATAGAGACTACCCTTAGTGACAAAAAAAGAACAGAAGTAAAATACCATATACCATATATACTTTCCATTGGTGGAGGGTAACTGGAATTAAAGCTTTCCATGGTCCTTGTATTGTCAGAAATATGGTAGACATACCAATTTTTTTCTTTAAATTCAATTTAATTAACATATACTATATTATTAGTTTCAGAGGTAGAATTTAGTGATTCATCAGTTGCATATAACACCCAGTGCTCATTACATCAAGTGCCTTCCCTAATGCCCATCACCCAGTTACCCCATCCCCCTGCCCACACCCCCTCCAGCAATCCTCAGTTTGTTTCCTAGAGTAAGAGTCTCTTATGGTTTGTTTCCCTGTTTTCATCTTATTTTTCCTTCCATTCCCCATGTTCATCTGTTTTGTTTCTTATATTACACATATGAGTGAAATCATGACATTTGCCTTTCTCTGACTGATTTATTTTGCTTAGCATAATACCCTCTAGTTCTAGCCCTGTCGTTGCAAATGGCAAGATTTCATTCTTTCTGATGGCTGAGTAATATTCCAGTGTGTGTGTGCACGCGCGCATGTGCGCACACACACACATCTTCTTTAGCCATTCATCTGTCAATGGACATCTGGACCCTTTCCGTGTTTTAGCTATTGTGGACATTGCTGCTATAAACATTGAGGTGCATGTGTCCCTTGGGATCACTATGTTTAGACATACCAGTTTAATGTAAGATTTTACAAAGCCAAATACAATTAAAATGTTAGGGGTAGTCAGCAGAAGGAAAGAAGAAATAAAGAAAGGTTATTCAAACCAATAGAGGACAGGTAAAAAGGGAAAAAAAAACACCACAGAGAAAAGCAGGGTAAACAGAAAACATAATAAGATTGTAGAAATAACTACACATATGTTAGTAATGGTAATAATTGTAAACTGACTAAACTTAACAATTAAAAGAGAATGTTCAAATTGAATAAATGAGGTCCTGTTTTACAAAAGACATACTAAAAACATGAACATGAGAATAAAGAAAAATTTAAAGTATATTAAAAAGAAATACAAGCAAAGATACATGACTAAAAAGCCAGTAACAGTGGGGCATATGGGTGGCTTGGTCAGTTAAGTGTCTGACTCTTCATTTCAGCTCAGGTTACAATTTCAGGATTGTGGGATTGAGCCCCACTTTAGGCTCCATGCTCAGCGGGGAGGCTGCTTGAGAATCTCTCTCTCCCTCTGCCGCTGCCCCCTATATCTCTCTCCCTCCCTCTCTCTCTCTCAAATAAATAAATCAGTCTTAAAAAAAGAAAAGAAAAAGGCGAGTAATAGCTACAGTACTGTCAGGAAATGGAGACTAAGGCAAAAGGCACTGTGAGAGGGGGAAAAAAAGAGGATCATTATATAATAGTAAAAAAACAAAAAACAAAAAATGAGGTGTGCGCACACACACAATTAAAAACAAAGAATTTACAGGCGCCTGGGTGGCTCAGTTGGTTAAGCAACTGCCTTCGGCTCAGGTCATGATCCTCGAGTCCCAAGATCGAGTCCGGCATCGGACTCCCTGCTTGGCAGGGAGTCTGCTTCTCCCTCTGACCCTCCTCCCTCTCATGCTCTCTGTCTCTCATTCTCTCTCTCTCAAATAAATAAAAAATCTTTAAAAAAAAAAAAAAAAACCCAAAGAATTTACGAGGAAGATAAAACAATTTTCAACTTGTATGCACCTAATAACAAAGCCTCAAAATATATAAAGCAAAAATGATTATATTTATGGGAAACTGACAAATCTACCATCATAATGGGAAGATTTTAATATACCTGCCTCAGCCAAAATAATTAGTAAAATTAGAGAAGATTAGTAAGTTTAGGCTCATGTACCCAACAATAAGTTAATAAATTATTTTCAAACATGAGGAACATTTATAAAAACTGACTGAAACCTGGCTAAATCTTGACCACATATTAACCTATAAAGCAAGAGTCTTAACAGATGCCAAAAAATTAGTAAGATAAAAACATTATTAGCATCAAAAACTAATGATGTAATGTATGGTGACTAACAAAATAAAATTTAAAAAAACATTATTGGGGCGCCGGGGTGGCTCAGTCATTAGGCGTCTGCCTTCAGCTCAGGTCATGATCCCAGGGTCCTGGGATCAAGCCCCGCATCAGGCTCCCTTGCTGGGCGGGAAGCCTGCTTCTCCCTCTCCCACTCCCCCTGCTTGTGTTCCCTCTCTCTCTCTCTGTCAAATAAATAAATAAAATCTTTAAAAAAAAAATTATTAGCTCACCACAGTGCAAGTAAATTAAATATTGATAACAAAAACTTCTATATATTTGGAAATTTTAAAAATATTAAAAGATAAATTTTAAAAATTTAAAGTAAACTCATGGGTCAAATCAGAAATTAGAAAATAAATAAATGATAATGAAATGACTACTTATCAATATCCAGTAAAGATAAAGATGCAAGTTACATTATCCATACCTCAGTCATTTCACATAGGTATATGCCTGAGAGAATCTCAACACACATGACAAGAATGTTAATTATATATTGTTTACAAAAGTAAAAAACAACCTGAGGTCCATAAATTGTACTACATTCATATAATGGAATAATGTATACTGTGAAAGCAACTACTGCTACACACATCAACATGAATAACACTAAAAAAGGTAGTAAGATTGTACTTACCTAAACCTTAAAAAGAGGCAAAACTCAATATATTACTTAGGAATATGTATGTTTAAACCATTAAAAAATAATTAACACAACTCAGGTTAGTGGTTGCCTCTTAGGTTGAAGAAGAGGGATGTGAAGGTGAGAGATACACAGAAAGAGTAAAAATTATAGGTAATGTCCATTGACAGCATAGATTAAAATAAAATTCATTCATATAAGGGAATGCTCTATGACAGTTAAAATTAATGAATAATGCTACATATACAACAAAAACATCTCAAATACAATGTTGAGTGAGAAAAGCTATGGAAGGCTATATACAGTATAATACTTTAATTACAATATAATGACATGTGTGGAAATGATACACCAAATTCAGGACAATGGATATGTTGGGGAGGTAAGGCAGAGAGGAACAGAGATCTTCAATTCTATCTGTAATTTTTCATTTCTTAAAGGTGGCAGTGGGTATATAACTTAAAATTATTAGGTATAGTCTCTGTATGTTTCATTTAAAAGTCTAATGCTAGTCTATAAAGTACAGATTATACTATATCAATTCAGAGAAGGAGAAGACCCTGACAATTCCACATTGCTTCATCTTTTAAACCACAGAGAAACTGTTATTATGCTCTATCACCTCATCAGAATCACTGTGTGGTTTTTTCCCTAAGACTTTATTTATTTATTTGAGAGAGAGATCACAAGCAGGGGGAAGGGCAGAGGGAGAATCAGACTCCCCGCTGAGGAGGGAGCCTAAAAAGCAGGGCTCCATCCCAGGACCCTGAGATCATGACCTGAGCTGAAGGCAGACGCTTAACTGACTGAGTCCCCCCTGGCACCCCCAGAATCATTGTTTTAACATATACTGAGCTATTATTTATGTTGCACTTACCATGTGCCAGGCACTGAACTAAATGGTTTATGTGTATAACTCACTCACTTCAATCAATCCTCAAGACCATCCTAACAAGGGAAGTATAATTATATAATTAAATACCACATCACTGATGAAGAAACTGAGGCTGAGAAAGTTTAGATAATTTGTTCCAAGTTAATAGCTAGTAAGCAGCAAGATCAGGATTTAAATGCAAGTCCATCTGACACCAAAACCCATGGTCTTCAATCACAAACATAGGATGTAAAATGGTGAGCACTAGTTTGGCTCAAGGAAAAGGCCTCCATGTCAAGTTCCCACCGATTTACAGAACTAATGGTGAGTGCAATGGATTTAGCCAAAGAATCAGTAACTTTTGTGCTGATCAGTGATCTAAAGCCTCTATTGCTTCTTTTCTGTGTATTTATTTCTCCTAGCTTTCTCATTCTTTGGTGTTTTGACATTTTAAAATGGCTTATTATCTCGATGTTATTTGTACAGCACCTTTAGAGAAAAAGGTACTATATAAATGGAATAAAAATACTATAATGATGTAATAATTATGCTTTTTTTATGTCATGTCATCTCATTAGCTCTCTTATGTCAATAATCATTGTACCCCTCCTATAACCATCTCTACCATAAGGCCCTAAAAGAACTGCAACTGAGTCATCATTATACCATCTAGCACAATACCCAATACTTGGAGACAGACACACAAACTCACTCGCTCAGGCACAATAATACTTAAGGGTAAATGACAGTGATATCTACAGACAATAACCAGGTCCCACCCACATATTCTCCAGCCCATGCTTGCCATGCTCCTTCATGCTTAAGTATTTTTCTTTAAGTTTTCTTTTGTGAATCTTCAGTTGAAACAATGTACATTCTTTTAATCCATTCTCCCTGATGACTTTTCTGCACCTCCACAGGATGATCAAGTGAAAAAAAACATCAGACTAATAGTATTCATTACATACCAAACTGGCTGCACACACAAAAACTAGAAGCTCTATACGTTCTCTGTTTAAATTAAATGAAAAGTCCAAGAATCAAAGAATTTTATATTCAGAATTAACTTTAAAGATCCAGCTCAATCCTCTCATCTTACAGATAAAGAAAACAAGAGCCAAGACAGTTAATGCAAGTCACCAGAAATTCATGGAGTTAATCCTAATAGTTTTTTTTCTTTAACTCTTAGGCCAACATTAGTAACTTATACACTACAAAGAACTTTAAAGTTGGAACTGGATTCAAATCCTAACTTTGCTATTTATTGGGCATATGGCTAAAAGCAAACTGTTTAATCTTTTGAAGCCTTATCTGTAAAACAAAAGGAGG